GTTATGAGTTTTGAGTTATGTGTTATGAGTTATGTGTTATAAGTTATGTGTTATGAGTTATGTGTTATGAGTTATGTGTTATAAGTTTTGTGTTATAAGTTATGTGTTATGTGTTATGAGTTATGTGTTATAAGTTATGTGTTATAAGTTATGTGTTATGAGTTATGTGTTATGAGTTATATGTTATGAGTGATGAGTTATGTATTATGAGTTATGTGTTATGAGTTATGTGTTATGAGTTAGATTATCTTCACAGCTCTTCGGACACATCCATAGTCACTCAGATTCCCATCTCAACGAATTTATCAGCGTCGTGCGGTTAATAGTGCCAGTCCTATGTTATTTAACAAGTCTTCGTGTGCGTCCGGTGTGCTTCTCATGTTTGGCTGTGCCTATCTTTACTCCCAATTCGCGTATTTTTGGCAGTGACGTGGACACGTTGCTTCCAAAATCCTCAGAACGTCCTATCTCTCTAATGGCAATGGCAATGTCAGCGTGATCCATGGGCCGGCCATCTTCGATTAATGCAGCACCTGCCAGTCTACAGCTCTTTCATTACCAACAACGCCTGCATACCCTGTGGTAATTGCAGGTATAGTGAGCAGGCCTGCAGAATATGCTCAGGTGTTTGTGTCGCCATCTGACATGCACACTGTGTGCTCTGTGGTGCCATCTGACATGCACACTGTGTGGCACTGTGGTGCCATTTGACATGCACACTGTTTGGCACTGTGGCACCATCTGACATGCACACTGTTTGGCACTGTGGCACCACCTGATATGCACACTGTGGGCAATGTGACGCCATCTGACATGCACACTGTGGGCACTGTGGCGCCATCTTACATGAACACTGTGTGGCACTGTGGTGCCATCTGACATGCACACTGTGTGGCACTGTGGCACCACCTGACATGCACACTGTGTGGCACTGTGATGCAATCTGACATGCACACTGTGTGGCACTGTGGCACCACCTGACATGCACACTGTATGGCACTGTGATGCGATCTGACATGCACACTGTGTGGCACTGTGGCACCACCTGACATGCACACTGTATGGCACTGTGATGCCATCTGACATGCACACTGTGTGGCACTGTGGCACCACCTGACATGCACACTGTGGACACTGTGACGCCATCTTACATGAGCACTGTGTGGCACTGTGGTACCATCTGACATGCACACTGTGTGGCACTGTGGTGCCATCTGACTTGCACACTGTGTGGCACTGTGGTGCCATCTGACATGCACACTGTGTGGCACTGTGGCGCCATCTGACATGCACACTGTTTAGCACTGTGGCACCACCTGACATGCACACTGTGGGCACTGTGGCGCCATCTGACATGGACACTGTGGGCACTGTGGCGACATCTTACATGAACACTGTGTGGCACTGTGGTGCCATCTGACATGCACACTGAGTGGCACCGTGGTGCCATCTGACATGAACACTGTGTGGCACTGTGGTGCCATCTGACATGAACACTGTGTGACACTGGGGTGGATCTGACATGCACACTGTGTGGCACTGTGGCACCACCTGACATGCACACTGTGGGCACTGTGGCGCCATCTGACATGCATGTCAGGTGGTGCCATCTGATATACACACTGTGTGGCACTGTGGTGCCATCTGACATGAACACTGTGTGGCACTGTGGCATCGCCTGACATGCACCATGTGGGCACTGTGGCGCCATCTGACATGCACACTGTGGGCACTTTGGCGCCACCTTACATAAACACTGTGTGGCACTGTGGTGCCATCTGACATGCACACTGTGTGGCACCGTGGTGCCATCTGACATGAACACTGTTTGGCACCGTGGCGCCATCTAACATGCACACTGAGGGCACTGTGGTGCCATCTGACATGCACACTGTGTGGCACTGTGGTGCCATCTGACATGCACACTGTGGGTACTGTGGCACCATCTAACATGCACAATGTGGGTACTGTGGCGCCATCTGACATGCACACTGTGGGCACTGTGCGGATTTTTTTTTCATGCTTGTGCGATATCCTGATAAAGGCTTTCTGGCCGCGCCTTTTATTTGTTGTTCTTGAATGTGATAATGTGAGGCTGACTGTCCTACCCCTTTTTACCCTTCATCGGCTGTAAATTCCGGCGGAAAGTTCTGCTTGTTTAGCCATTTCTAGACTTTTATCTTGTGCACCCATATTCGTTTGACAGATCTGCCTTTTTGGGGCAGAACGTTGGTTTCTCGCCTCTGGGCAGATGCACCCTAACTTAGAAGGAAACTCACCTAATTTGTCACATTGTACAAAACCTTTTTTTAGAGAAGCCCCCCCCACCCCCCCCCCCCCCCCCCCCCACCCACCCCCCCACTCCCCCCAGAATGAGGCCCTGGAACTGACAAATGGAAGTTCAACTTCTAGTTTCGACTTATGTCGTTTCATTGTACTGTTATATCTTGTTTCGTCTTATCATGATTTTTCTTGTCTTGTCATACCATGTCTTCTACCGTCTGAACATATTCTGTGCCCTCTTGATTTGTCCGCTGGTGTCTGGTCAAGTCCTATCATGACTAGTCATGACCCGTTCGACCAACCAAGCTGGCCTGTCATTTCTCTACCCTAACTCCTGCATTGGAACCAGTGTCAAACAAACGCCCTACAATATTTAGAAATCGTGTCAAGCCTGCTAGTTTTATTACCGGCGGCAATTCGCAGCCTTGACTCCAGTAAAGGATCCTGTAAACACACGAGAGATTGCAACCAGTGGTTGGCCTGTGTACTTCAAACAACACCCCACGACCCATCCACCCGCGATTCCTCGGATGTTTACACGACTCCCTAGGCCAGGCATCTATTATTCATCCTAGTGTCCGACCCCAAGCCAGATCCCGCCGATTTCAGGGCCCCACTGTAAACATTTTTTCGAGACCTCAGCGGCAGTTCCAAACACTAAAACTGATGACGAAATCGTTTTTTGTTTACTTGTACTTCCCAGCAGACATCTCGTTTGTGTGTCACACTTCCGGTGAGTCGTCCATTGTTTTTCTTATCATTGTCATTGTCTCTCTCTTATTCTCTCTCTCTCTCTCTCTCTCTCTCTCTCTCTCTCTCTCTCTCTCTCTCTCTCTCTCTCTTCCTCCCTCTCTCTCAATCCTGGGCTATTAGTGTATTTGTTAAAAACTGAAGTATCTTCAGTTATTCATTCTCTCTCTCCTTCTATACCGAGGCATCGAAGTATGAGTTGAGTTGATTCAAAAACCAATATCACAAGGGCATTCCCATAAGCGCTCCGTTCCCATCTTCAGCAGCCAGCGCAAAGTTCCAATACTAATAGTGCCAGTAGCAGTCTCATTATACCTCCTCGAATAATTGAATCAGATGTTTTAATGCCTAGGGCAGGAAGGAACGAACGAACGAAAGTTTGTTCGTTCGTTCGTTCCTTCCTGCCCTAGGCATTAAAACATCTGATTCAATTATACATTCCCCTTGGGGTATACATCGGGTATGCATGCATCTTAAGAGTCTTATGCAGAGTGGACAGACATGCAGAAACTGCTCATGTGTTTGTCGTCCCATCTCACATGCACACTGTGGGGACCGTTCAGGCTTTATTTTAGGCATGTGGTAGTTGAGCCTGCAGTGTCCTGTTCTAACACGGAAAATTGTTGTATGTTGCTTTTTGTTGAGTCTGATGATATGGGGGTCTTGCAGGTGTTTGCTGTTGGTTTGATGAGAATCAAACAGGGAAAGAAAATTCCTAGATATCCCCTGTAACCCTATATAGCAATTACATTAAGGCAGCTCACGGTTAGAGAGTTACTTGATGTAAAGTGGACTCTGACATCTCTTCTACTGACACGGCTGCAATGTGTCACGTTAAGAGCAGTTACTGACGCGACTGCAATGTGTCACGTTAAGAGAGAAGCAGTCACTGACACGACTGCAATGTGTCACGTTAAGAGAGATACAGTTACACGACTGCAATGTGTCACGTTAAGAGAGAAGCAGTTACTAACACAATTGCAGTGTGTCACGTTAAGAGAGATACAGTTACACGACTGCAATGTGTCACGTTAAGAAAGAAGCAGTTACCGGCACGATCACAATGTGTCACGTTAAGAGAGAAGCAGTTACTTACACCACTACAATGTGTCACGTTAAGAGAGAAGCAGTTACTGACACGACTGCAATGTGTCATGTTAAGAGAGAAGCAGTTACTGACACGACTGCTATGTGTCACGTTAAGAGAGAAGCAGTTACTGACACGACTACGATGTGTCACGTTAAGAGAGAAGCAGTTACTGACACGACTGCAATGTGTCACTTTAAGAGAGAAGCAGTTACTGGCACGATTGCAATGTGTCACGTTAAGAGAGAAGCAGTTACTTGCACGACTGCAACGTGTCACGTTAAGAGAGAAGCAGTTCTACAATTTATGCAGTCTTTTTCTTCAAAGGATGACTGGATAATTCGTATGATCGGTTTGTCCCCTTCTGGCTGCTACTTACAGTTTAACTATAATGTTCTGAGATTTAAAAGCCTCAGTCTAGAAGGCGGGCCAACGAAGCAGATGATGCCAGATACCCTGTTCAACCTCCACAGAAATTATCCGTAACGTTCACACGAGCCGAAAGGGTGGCTGGCAGTTTGTACTGTGGTTTACAGCTGGGCTACAATATCTAGATATACATTACACAGACATGTAGACAGACATGTAGACATATATGTAGACAAACAGACAGACATGTAGACAAGGAAGTGTACAGACAGGCATGTAGATAAACGGGCAGACAGACAGACAGGCATGTAGACAGACATATATTTAGACAGACGGATATGTAGACAGACATGTGGACAGACAGACATGTGAGCAGACAAACAAAAAGATATGTAGACAGTCAGAATGACAAACAGACAGACAGGCAGGCACACATACAGGCAGATAGGCAGGTATACAGATATCACTGGTGTGCCCCTTATAAATGTGTACCTGTCTGTACTTCGTCTAG